AACAGAACAGTCTCCCCAAAAGAGGTTAAAAACCACATTCACACTCATAAAAACAAGAGCAAACAAAGAAGGAGGAAAAAGCAAAACCAGAACCACCACAAAAAACAGCCATAAAAGGTCTACTTCTAGGTTGGTCTCTGCTTGGATGTGAAGACGGAGTCCTCATCTGTGTTGATTTGTCTCAGCAAGCCAGCAATAACTTTTTGGTGGGGTAATGGGTAATCTCAGTGAGGCTATACCTTCTGGTTGAGACCAGATGCATTCAGCCTGCAGCCATGAGCACACCCCCTTGGGCCTGAGCCCAGCTGGGTATTGCCAGATGGAGCCAGTAGCTGCTCAAAGTTCTGAGCTCAGTCGACCCCTCTCCAAGATGACTCACGCAGTGAACCCCATCTCAGGGAGAAGGTGCTGCTGGCTACCTGCTTCTTCATTGGAGTTTCTTTCTTCACTTTCTCCATGAGCTTCAGTTAGCGCTTCAGATCTTTCCTGGGTCCAGGGGACCCACTTCCCTCCTTCTTCCTCATGTTTTTATATTCCAGCATCTGGATGGTAACACTCAGAGGCTCTTGTTCTGCTGCTTGTCACGCTGCCATCTTGGTGCCTCCCTGTCGTCGTTTTTATTTTGTTATCAAGGATTCCTGATAACTGGTACCAAGAGACCATACCAAGTAGATGTAATGCATCTCTGGTCACAAGCCTTCCCAAGGAGCAGGGGCAGACCACATGCCATCTGGCAAAGAATGTGCTAAACGACAGCTGTAGTTGGCAGTCAGAAAGTGCCCTGATCTTTCTGCTCTGATCAGGTCTTACAGCAGGAGGAGGAGGATGGAAACTTTCCTGCATCTCCACATGAAATCCAGCCAGGTCCGCTTGAAGGTGCTAAAACTGCACGAGGAAAGGGCAGGCCGGTGTGGTGGTAGTGGCTTTACTTAGTTACCGCGGTACTAGCAGACACCCAAGTTGTACTGTTTCTCAGCCCTGCCCACTTGGCCCAGCTTTGACTTAGTCTTGTTGGAAACAAAGGCAGTCGACAAAATCCAGCTGTGCTGCTAACAATGTCCTTTGCACCATTGTTGCCATAGGTCCTCTGGGCAAGGGCAAGAGTCTAGAAGGGGAGGAGGAAGTGGAAAATCTCCTACACGTCTGCCTGCAGGTTGCTTGTGTTCTCCAGACTGTGGCCTGATCATAGGATAGCACACAAAGCCTCATGCATTTGATACTTTCCTATTTTCCAAAGTACTCGCACAGTCTTACTTTGGTAGTCCTCTGAATTGCTTTAGTGTAGTAATTAAAAGTCCAAACCCTGGAGCCAGACAGCCTGGGCCTGAGCCTGGCCCTGCTGCTGCCAGGCCGTGCGGACTAGGCCAGTTCAGCAACTCTAGTTGCCTTGCTTTCCTCATCAGTGACTTAGAGATAGTAGTAGCATGTAGCTCATCACTGCTGTACATAGTAATTGAATAGTGCAGCACTTAAATAGGACCTGGTATACAGGAAGAGCTCAATCATTAGGACAGTGTTAGTTTTAGCAGATGTTACTGTCCCTCTTGCTGTGGATAGTGGAGGCCAGAGGTAAGCAACTTGAGGAACAGGAGTTCTTGTCAGAGTCCGCTCAGCCTGGGGGTGAGGCACAGGAGGAAAGGGCCTTGCAGGATGTTTCTGCTCACAGATGGCAAGGTGGGAGGGAAGGCTTGTTAGTCTGTGTTTACAGATAAACCATTATAAATAGCATTTCATTTTCTGCAGGAAAGTTAACAGTTTGTGACAGATGAGAAGTTAAGTGGATAATTGTCAGTGGTTTTACAAATTAGCCCCTGAGAGACTGGTTTGTTATTAACACACATACACAGGAGTATGTGGCCCCCTCCTTCCCCAGTGAATTTTGGTGGAAGATGTTTGTTTATTTTTTAAGAGAACTACTTCTTAGTGATTGGAAGCCAGCTTTTCCTCTTAGTCTTCAGTAACTCAAATCCTTTGACAATTTTTTTTTTCCAACCAAATATCTATGTTTAAGGGCTTGGTAGAATTTTTAAAAATTCATATACCATCCAAATAATCAGCAGTGAGCCCAGAAGTGGCTGAGCTTGAGGTCGTGTTGTAGCCCAGCAAACAGCACCACATCCCATTCCAGTATGCTTGCTCTTCTCCTCCTGTGGCCACTGTGTGTGTGTGTGTGTGTGTGTGTGCGCGCGTGCGTGTGCGTGTGTGCGCGTGCATACGCGTACGTGCATCCATGCACTGGTGTACTTCCTTAAAGAGCCTCCCTGTCCCGCAACCACTGTAAGACACCTCCATCTCCTCTGTTCTGCCCAGAATACACATCAGGCTCCTATGGCAGAGTTGTGTTTTGCCCAGAACCTGGTCTAGTGAGTAAAGTCCTCATCCGTTGTCTTGAGCCTACTCCCCCGCTGCTACTCTGGGCCACAGCCTCCTGACCATCCTAGCCCTCTGTACCCGGCCACCAGAGGCTGCCTGCTCAGCGCTGCTGCTCAGGTTGAGGAGCCCAGGGTGGCAGACTCCCTGCTCTTCACCGCTCAACCCTGCATGGGACAACACACAAGGTCCTCACTGATTTCTGCTCCTATGCACACAGATAATTGTCACATGTGTCAATTCAAATACCAGCCTCTGAGAGCTATGAAGGCTATTTCTAAAGGCATAAATTATCCAGTGATTTCAGTTCTTTTCAGGAATATCAGACAGTTTAGTTTTAAAAGAAGTCATATTTGGAGAAATAATGAATGAAAACATAAGGTCGTTACCTTTTCTTTCTACAGCTCCACTTTTTCTTTTCTCCTTACCTTTATTTCCTATCCTGTCCTGTCCTTTCTGTGGCTATCTCAGCCCAGTCCCTGAGCACCTGCCTAAGCTTGCCTAAGCAGGCGCTTTAGACTACTGAGCTATCTCACCAGCACCTACAGTTCCACTTTTTAGAAAAGTATTTACTGGAAAGTTTACTTCTCAAAATGAGAGGTTGAAATGGATGCCATAAATGTGAATGAGCAGGCCTTTCCTGAGAGTGGATGGATAAGCATGTCTCTCAGTTGATTATCTCTTTGGATTTGCTCAGTCCCAGTTTCTACATGGAGGCACTGTCTGGTTATGTTTAGTGACAAGCTGAGCAGCCAACCCTACATGGTTAACAATTCCAGTGCTGACGTCTTGTAGCTTGTTGTCTCTCTCTGAATACAGCAATAGTGCCGCTCGACTTGCCTTGCCCCGTCCAGTGGCAATGCCGGGAAACACAAGCACATGCAGGGTTTATTTTTCCTACCACTTTCCATTCCAGGATGCTTGCTTTGCTAACCTTAGCACAATGAAAGTCCCTCACATGCTGGCAGATATTTTGCTGTGTACCTATAAACCCAGCATTTGGGAGGCTGAGGCAGGACTGCCACAAATTCAAGGCCAGACTGGGTTACATAGTGAATTAAAGCCAGCTTGAAATACATAGTGAGACCCTGTGTCCAAAAAAAAGCTGGCCTCTGAAGTGGCACCATCACATGAATCCATTCTTCGTAATCTGCAGTTTATGCTACCCTTTTAAATACATGGTGTGTGGCCAGCCATGGTGGCCCGTGCCTGTGATTCCACACTTGGGAGGCTGAATTCAGGGACTGCCTCAAATTCAAGGCCAGCCTGGGCTACATGGTAAGTTCAAGGCTAGCCCGAGAGACTGACTGACTGACTGACTGACTGACTGACTGACTGAATTGTATGTTCTCTTAATTATAGCTCACAACCATTGAGGGCACTAAACAAGCTGAAACTTGTCACATGCTATTACTAAGTTTTGATGTGCTGCTTCTCATATTGTAGTTCTTGGCTTTCCATTCGATGGTACCTGGCCACAGCATTCACTTTTTTTGGTAGTAGAGATCGAACTCAGGACCTTATGATTGCCAGTCAGGTGCTTATTATTTTAATCACACCCCGTATATTCCAATACAGGGCCATGACTTTTATTTTTAATCAAGTTTTCAGTTGGAGCCATGTAACTTAACTTTAGGGTGTGTATGTGAGTGTGTGTGTGTGTGTAGAGCTAGAACCTTTTTACTGATAAATATTGTAACCAGAAAAGATTGTATCTTTTAAAAAAAAAAATCTGGCCACCTTAAGAGAAGAATTAAAGGCTAATTACAAAAACTAGAGTTTAATTTCTCTTGCTGTAAAGTAGTGGCAGACATACAAGGTAAACGAGGTCAGCTTGAAACCCCTAGGGCATTTACTTCATTCCATTACTTAAATATACTTGACACTTTCTGTAGCCCAGTTTTATAAATACAGCAGTTTGTAATTAAGGGGTACAATTACCTAGCTTTGTAAACTGGAGACAGGAGAGATAGAAGAAGCAAGGGCTGACTTTCTGGTAAGGATACCAGTGCCAGTATTCGTGACGGTTGTACAAGGATGGCCCCAAAAGCCAGACTGGCCCAAGTTCAAGGCACCCTAATTCCTGATGCATGTGTATGTCGTAATAAATTCACTCTACTATATCTTCACATCCTACTTTATGTGGATAAAGCAGCATCCACCGATGGTTGGGAAGACTGAAATAATCAGTGGAGTTTCTCACACTGTGTGGTACAGCAATTGCTCTTCACATTGTAACTACAAAGAATATTCAACTCAGCTCTCAGGTCCTGGGCAGACCCCTTCATGGCTCGAGGCTTGGCTTCTGTTTAGCCTACATGCCCTCATGTCTGTGGTATTTTGTTGAATGAGGACACGTCTCCAAGGGACTTTTAAGTGCAGGGAGTTTACAAGCCGTCTGGGAAGGCGAAGCCTCATGGCATGACACAATGGAAAATAGGACAGAAATGCATGGTCAGGCATTGGCTAGGAGGACTGAGGACTCCAGAGAAAGGCAGCTGTGCACATTTGGGAAATGGAGGGATGGTGTGGCCTGCCGTTAGGGGCGTCCTTATAGATAGAGGGTGGGAGACATGAGTCCTCTCATGCTGCCAGCTGCCCTCTGCCACGTGTCTCTTCTGTCATTACAGGCTGAGCTCATAGAAAGCCTCACTCACAAGCTTGAGACCCTCCAGGAGGCGAAAGGGAGTCTGCTCATGGACATCAAGCTTAACAATGCCCTGGGAGAGGAGGTGGAGGCTCTGATCAGTGAGCTGTGCAAGCCCAACGAGTTTGACAAGTACAAGATGTTCATAGGTGACCTGGACAAGGTGGTGAACCTGCTGTTGTCCCTCTCAGGGCGCCTGGCCCGCGTGGAGAATGTCCTTAGTGGCCTTGGTGAAGATGCTAGTGATGAAGAAAGGGTATGTGGCCTAAATTCAGTCCAGCAAATCTTCCTCTGAGCTCATGTACACAAAAGAAGGGCCATTGGATGTGATCCTTTCTCAAGTTATAATCATTTTGGAGGTGGGGGAGAGGAGATAAGCAATACAGAGAAGGCAGCATCTTCCATGCCAAGTCAGACTGCCTCAGAATATTTGGGAAAATAAAGACACGTGTGAGAGTTTCTTTATTCCCTTTCTTCCTTCCTCCTTTTCTCAAACGTGGTAAGTATTGACATGTAAAAAAACGTGAGGGACAAAACAAGACTACTGGGGTCAAGAAGGGACAGGAACATGAGGTCCAAGCTCCCAGGAATCTGCTGGGAGGGCCCTGGCAAGTAGGAGGGTGCACAAGAGACCTCCAGTCACCCCTGTCTGTGAGGACAGCAGTGCCATCCAGATGAGATCAGATCCATCAAATGCTCTGTGCCAGACCCGGGGCTTTCACACCTCCTGTGTGATCTCGCTGACTCCTTACCACACCAGTGTTAGTTGTTATCATGGTTGGTCTAAGGGAAATAAGAAAAGGCACTCAGTGGTCCAGTAAATGCCCAATTCAAGATAATCATTTGCAGTTTGGGAAGACTATTAGAAACTCAGCTAAATATGATTTAAAAAAAAATATTAACCCAAAGCAAGTGTGAAACATGTTCATGTTGAGGCTTGTTACCATTAATGATGGTTGCCTGTAACTGATGGGTGATCTTCACACATTTTGAATGCTTTAAAATGTCTTAGGTTTTTTTAAAAGCTTAAGAGTTCTCCATGCTATATTTTTAAAGGACTCTTTATTCAAGTGTCTGTAAGTGGTTTCAGGTCTTTTTGATTAGGGGAAAGAATCTTCAAAAGATAAGACAGACCTTGTAAGATGAGCCTTATAGCTTTGTACTTTTCCAGAGTGCATTGTTACCTAAGACTGGCTAGTTTGGAGAGATTTAGGACAAAGGTGCATGAGCTTTCAATAATCCTAAATAAGTTTATTTGTATTGAAGGATATTTAAGTGATCTTATTTCTTGATTTATTTCAGTTTTGACTTTTCCATATCACTTTGGCCTAAAAAATTAGAAAGGTTAAATACTAAATTTTTAAAATTTCAAAATGGCACTCATTATGTGTCAGATGTTAGATTAAAAACTATCTTAAAGATTTTAATCAGTAAATTAGCGTGAGGTATGCTTCCTAACCATTGGGCTGATACAGGAAAGTTAGAATGTGAAATCAGGATCAGTGTTGAGCCAGATTTCTTTCAGCTTTGATCCAGAGGCCTGAAAAAGAAGCCTGGATAAATGGAAACAGATTTCCCTAGAGATTGGAAATGTGCTGTTCCAATGTTTAGGGAGAGGGTCTTCAACTTTAAAGTCTTGTTAAAAGATTGGGTCCTGCTTCTCAAGTTAAATTTACATTTCTAGCAAGCTCAGTTGGCCTCACAACCACAGTGCTAGAACCACTATATTACTCAAGGTTCCTTGATGATTATTTTTTTAAAATATAGACCCTAAAAGTCAAGTCATTAGCCCTGCCATTTAATGTAATCTCTCTCAACTTGAAGCTACCAAATTTTACAAAACTGGGCTGGGAGGCTGTAAATAGGCAGATCACTATGAGTCTGATTTAATAGTGAGACCCTGAACACTCTGTAGACCCTTCCCTAAAAGAAAATACAAAAAAAAAAAAAAAAAAAAAAAAAAAGACTTTGCAGAGGAAAAAAATTATATAGTATACAACTTCAGAGTATTAAGCTGATTTTCACAATGTCAGTTTGCGTAACGGCAACTGAAAGGAAAACTGAGCCCCAACTGAAGTAGAAATGTGGCTGTTTTGTATGCCTGTGTAAGACTGCCCTGCAGGGAGCTGGCTTTTCTGTCCATCTGTCTGTGTGTCTGTTGCTGACCTGTCGCTTTTCCCTGACAGAGCTCCCTGAACGAGAAGAGGAAGGTCCTGGCTGGACAGCACGAGGATGCCCGTGAGCTGAAGGAGAACCTGGATCGGAGGGAGCGGGTAGTGCTCGACATCCTGGCCAATTACCTCTCAGAAGAGCAACTCCAGGATTACCAGCATTTTGTGAAAATGAAATCAACGCTCCTCATCGAGCAGCGAAAGCTGGATGACAAGATCAAGCTGGGCCAGGAGCAGGTGAAGTGCCTGCTGGAGAGCCTTCCTGCTGACTTCACTCCCAAGGTCGGGACTCTCGCTGTGTCCCCCGATGTCCCGAACCAGACAACACCTCTTGGCAGATGTACTTTCCATGGTGTGTTTTCAACACTAACCTCTCCACTTTAACCTCTTCTAAAAATAACCAAAAGAACACCACTTCTCTTGACACTATTTAATCTGAAAAAATACTTCACTACAAACCACCATTCAAACCATATAGGTTATGGGGTTTTCCTGGATAAAAGGAAAATTAGTACTAGGCAGGACTAAGCCTGCTCTTCCCTCTTGCCCTTCATGATTGACCTGAGAGCTTGAATGCTGCTGGAAACCTACCCTTTCTGTTCTCTGTGGTAGAGAGTTCATGGCACCGTGAGAACGGAGTCGAGTTTAGATCTTAGCAGGCGGGAGTGATGTGGGGCAGTGTGTGTCACCCTCAGGAATGTATCCACAGCGGCCTTCCTTGCTGCTGGGCAGTGTGTCCTGACAGTAAGATACAAGTACCATTAATGAAGGGTCTGTAACCTAAAGCCTTAAAAAGACAACACACTGAGAAGAGAATTGTAAAATCTTGAACATTGTTGTTATTTATATTTTTAAAAATGAAAAAGATCATTGTGTGCTAACCTCTTTCTTGATTCTGTTTTATGGTGGATGTAGACTATGATGTTTAAGCTTTGTGTTTTGTGAGAACCTTAATGAAGAATTCCAAAGATAGTCACACTGCGTGTGGAGACTTGTTTTTTCTTACACTCGAGTACAAGCAGATGTTCTTTGCTAGAGTTGAGCTGAGGATGGTGGCATGTCTCCGCTCACATGTGCTTTCCCTGGGAGGTCTTGCCACGGCTCCTCGTAGTCACTGCTTGAGCACAGCTTTCCCACCAGGAGACAGTCCAAAATCCAGGCCAGTTTAAAACAGTGTGTGCTGCCGTCCCATACATGATTTGGATTCAATTCAAGCTACTGAGATAGATAGATAGATAGATAGATAGATAGATAGATAGATAGATAGATAGATAGATAGTCAGGCTGCTTTAATAAAGCATTATTTTTTAAAAATTACTTTTCCTAAACTGTCAAACCTACCCATTATACTTTCATTAAAAAAATCTCTCCTTAACCCCTAAAACCAACTTTGCTTGATCATGTTTCAGTAACAATATCTCTGAGGGGATTCTGGAGCCCAAAGAGTGAGCCCATTAAACTGAAAGGATAGTTAGTGTCCTGGACACTTTCTTCATAACTGGGAGAAAACACCTGACACCTGCAGCTTAGAGGAGGTGAGGTTTGTTTTCACTGAGTTACAGCGGAAGGTCGGCCGGATCCCAGGCAGAAAGGGCATGGTGGAAGGGTCTAGTGAAGGAAGCTGCTCACATCATGGTGCCCAGGAGGCAGAGAAAGATGGGATCTTGGGAGGCAGATACACCCTTCCAAATGCCACTCCTAGTGCCCAACTCCTCAAAGCAAGTCAAAAGCCCTGCTTCTGAGCGCACAAGAACATTCTTGATGTAAACCATAACGTTCTGCCCAAGCCCCAGAACACCTGTGTGCATCTCTTTATGCAAAACGCATTTAGTTTCTCTGCAGCTGCACTTAGTGGTGCATACCTATAATCCCAGTACTTAGGAGGCTGAAGCAGGAGGATCATCATGAGTTCAAGGCCAGCCTGGACTACATAATGAGATCTTGTCTCAAAAACAAAACAACAAAATCAAAAATATAGTTCAAATTTTGCCAGGCATGGAGGGACACATCTGTAATCCCAACACTTGGGAGGCTGAGGCAGGAGGATTGCTACAACTTCAAGGTCAGCCTGGGCTACATAGCAAGACCTTGTCTGGAAAAAAAAAAAAATTGCCAGAATTTTAATCATTCCAGCATTGCTGGAAAGTTTAGGCCCAACATGTCAAGGCAAAACTCTTAGCTGTAAAAATAAAGTTAAACACTGCTGCTATTGCAATGGCACAGGTTAAACATTCATTCTAAAAGGGGGATAGAATGGCACCAGGACCAGACAGCATACCAGCATTCAGGAACTGAGGAAAGAGGACCACTGAAAGCTCAAGGCCACCCTGGGGTATATAGTCAGTTCAAGATGAGCCCGAACTATATGATAAGACCCTGTCTTTATTTTATTTTATTTTTTTAAGACCCTGTCTTTATAAAAAAAAAAAAAAAAAAAGGGCAGGCCAAATAGCTCAATGGATTAAAATGCCTGCAAGCAGGTATAGGGACCAGCCATGCCAGCCCTGCCTCTGGGGCCGGCTGAGATGACAAGTGAGCGTGGGCGTGGTGGCATGGGCCTGTAATTCCAGCTCTTGGGAAGCTGTAAACAGACAGATCACTAGGAGTCCGATCTAGTAGTGAGACCCTGAACACCCTGTAGACCCTTTGCTAAAATACAAAAAACAAAATAAAAACACAAACAAAAACCAACCTGAAACCCAGCAGGACAAATAATTAAATCCTATAGTTTCATGTCCTGTATCCAAGGCAAGTTATGGGGACATGTTGTGAATTACAAAGACCTTGGGTAGCCCTACCCCGGTATTGCCAGTGACAGCCTTTATGTCCTCTCTCATGTCCACTCACTACCTGCAGCTTCCCTCAGCAGGCATTCCACTTGAGCATCTCTTGACTTCCTGTGGTCACCACTGTACCTTTGGCTTCACCCTCACAGCTTTGCACACTGCCCTCTTGAGGCACACTGGTCTCCTAAGCCTTCTTTTGAAATCAGGGTGGAAACCAATCTGACCCCATAACTATTGCATTCTGCATCCTGATAAAACCAGCACCATGCGGATGATACCAAGGTCTGCCATTCAGGCCAACAGCCAAGACCACTTGGGTGATAGCTACAGAGTCCTCTTAAGTGCCTAGGTGGCTGAACTCTGAATCAAAGCCCAGAGAACCAACCCTCTAGGTGGCCTTTTTGCAACAGGGTTCCCAGAGGCTGGCTATCTTCTAAAAGCAAAGTCTTACTTTTGCACCCTGTTACATGTGAAGTGGAATTGAGAGTTTGCTGAGGTACCCTCAAGGTATCTGTCCTGTTGTCCTGACAGAAAATACTTGACTTCTTTTTTATTTTAGCAACCAAGCCATTCCTGTGCTCCAACTTTGTAGACCTTCTTTTCTGGGTAAACTAAAAATTCTTCAAATGGGCTTTTGAGTCCTGGTTTTCAGTTTAAATATAGCTGAAAGCTACCAGTAGTACCCATGCCACAGCCTGAGCACTGGGCTTGAAATTTTTTCTGCCAGATCAGTTAGTTTGCTGCTGCTCTTCATATCAGTTTCTCACAAGTCTTAGGACAAGAGCAGAATGTAGAAAAAAAAATTGCCAGAGTGAAATACACATAGCTTCTATCCCAACTGCCAATGGAGCCCTTGTTCCCAATATAAACTTGAGCCTGATTTTCATTACATTTCTATGAGCATTCCAGTCTTCTGAGTTCTGATCAGAATCCATAAAGCTTGGTTTACAGCATTCTAGATAGGGCTTCTTTAGCTGTCGTCTCCAAACTTTTCCAAACTCTTATGAGCTACTTCAAAGACTCGTAGAAGCATGGGCATGGTGGCATTTGCCTGTAATCCTAGTATTTGGGAAGTTGAAGCAGGAAGATTGCCTCAAGTTTTGAGTCATCCTGGGTTACATAGAGAGTTCAAGAGCAGAACGAGCTACGTGTGAGCCCATGCCTCAATCAAAAAAGCAAAGACTTGTAAACTACTTGCCCTCTGTCGCAAAATCTGTCATAGTCACTTTGTTCATCACTAGGATAAAATACCTGACACCAACTTAAAGGAGTTTATTCTTGGTCATGGTTATAGTCCAAGCTCAGCAGGCTCCCAGGCAGAAACAACATGTCAGGGAAGGTCTGGCTGAGGAGGGCAGCTCACATCATGGCAGCCAAGAAGCAGAGAGAGGAGAGGAGCTGGGAGGGAGAAATAGCCTTCCGGGTAACCCCCAGTGACCCCCTCCTGCCACCTAAGAGCAAGTTAGCTATAGTGTCCCCATGATCAAATCACCTCCCAAAAGCTCTGTGTCTGAGAGGATGAGTGTTTTATGGATCATTGCTAACTTAAAGCATACAGGCTATGGTCAGTGGTCTGCCTGGGTTTTGTACCTGGAAGTGGCAAAAGCTCATCCATCCTTTGAGCAGGTGGTAATATCATGAGGAGCTTAGTTTTCTCATTTGTGTTGAACCCATTGCTGTTGACTACTTGGATTAACTTGAGCAGCCAGAGAAAAATCCAGAATACAAGTATTTCAAATGCCTTTTTCCCTTAGTATACTTTAAATTATTTAATGATTTTCTTTTTCTGGTAAACAATATCAAATCTATAGTTTTGATCTTCAAGATTTTTGAAGACAGGGTCTCACTATGTGGCTCAGGTTGGCCTTCAACTTACTATGTGTACCCCACACTGGCCTCAGATGGGCAGCACTCCTCCTGCCTCAGCCCCAGTACTTTTTTTTTTTTTTTTTTTTTTTTTTTGTGGAACTAGCGATTGAACTCAGGGCCTTCCGCTTGCCAGGCAAGTGCTTATTCTACTGAGCCATCTCTCTGACCCCTACATATGAGTTTTGATTAACCTAGAAACAATAGACCACCCAGAAGCTTTTTGTAAGCAATCAACCAAAAGTTTTGCTTTAAATTCTTTGGAACATGCACACCATGATAACATCAAAATAAATAAGACAGCACAATTGGTGTCCAGGAATGTTTTTAAATGCTTGTCTCTCACAGACAGAGGTCTCTGTCTCCCAGAGAATTAGTGAACCAGTGAGAACATTAAACTACTACAGTATGTGGCTGTTTTGAAATAAGCGATGCACCCGACTAACATTTCATCTTGGAGCCTAACTCCAATCGGTACTTGACCCTGGAGGTCATCAGACTAGAGCCAGCCAGCAGGTGTCTATCGATGTTCCTAGGAATAGAAGGGCTTCCAGTTCCCCACACTCATCAAGATTATTCTTTAGGATTTGCCATTTTGCACGTGCAGTCTATCTGATGACTTTTCTATTTTATACATATAAAAGCTAGTGATCCTTGCAGCAGTGACAGGTGATATCATTCCCTTGTCATGTGAAATGAGTGCAGTATTAAAGAGACTCTGAAATCTAATTCTGAGGTAGATGCAGTATTGATTGGAACAGGTCTTAATCTCTACTCTGAAGATATCACTGACCCAACTTTCAAAGTTTACCTTAGCTCTAAGACCATGCATTTATCCTTTTTTCATTTTGGATTTTCCTGCTATTAAAAAATCATAGTAGAAGCTGCCCTTCTTCCTCCTAGCCATCTTCTCTACAGGGACCCTGAGAAGAGCAGTCCTGAGCGTATTGCTGGTCAAGGTTCTGAACATATGTGACATCACTGAGAAAGTCTGTTCAGTCAGCAGTTTCAGAGCCACTTCTCAGTGCAAAGCAAGTGGGACAGCCTTACAATATGACACAAATAAAGATACTCCAGCGATGTTCCAGGCAATAGCAATGTCCTGTGATAAGATCAGAAGGCACCTGAGAAGCTCCTGCACCACTGGCTGTCAGTGTGGGTTGAATCAGCCTGCTGTTCTGTTTCCTGTGGTGGCTGCTTCACCTCCAGGAATGCAGAGAGAAGTCCCAGTTTCCATAAGAGACCCTGTGAAAATCAAACATTTTCTTCTTTGCTCCAGGAGAACACTTAAGACTTCAGTTTGCAACGCTAGTTTCCAAA